TTGCGTTTACAATTATCCCAAACTTGAAGCTAGAAATGTCTTTTGTTTTGTGTAATCGTGTAAAATATTTTGTGTAAAAAAAATACACAAAAGTGAAAAAGTTTCACTCTCACACTCTTTTCTACCTCTATTCCATCAGAACCAATTTCAAGTACCAAGCTCTCGAGAGAGTGAATAGGCCAGGCCTGCTAACTCTTACAACTGTAGACGCTCACAATAAATCTTTTATAAGTGGTTTTCTGAATTATATTCGGTCCTTCGTAGTAAAAGCGACTTTTTTTGGCTTTTTGACTACTACAAAAACGTAATAAAGGACATTATGTCTTATTGTTGTTAGTTTTATTACTTATAATTCTATTACTCAGGAACCAGAAAAAAATACTCCAAAAGTACTTCAACTGTTTTTAACACCCCGCATAAATATGGAAAATACGATATATTCCCACAAGGATCAGTTCTTGGACCTACACTGTGGAATGCTATGTACTATTTTTTTTTATTATATTTTTTTTTGCGTCAAGGAGAAGTGGAATGCGTACGCACTGACCACAATCCGGCATATTCCTAGATATCTTGTTCTACCCCGGGACTACGTTAGTATTACATCGGTGTGACCTGTGTCCAGGTCCCGTTACTGTAGTAGTGGTTAATCTTGCCCCTCATCTTGGTGTAATGCATGTGTTTGCTGCAGCTGTCTTCTGTCAAGATCTACTTTTTTCAATCTCAGGATCTTTTTAAGCAAACATTTTTACGCGATCCCAGTTTGTTTTGTTTTCGGTCATTTTTTCTGTCGCCGTCCTTGAAGAGATAGTACCAACTTGCGCTGCTAGTGCTTCTCATTCGGGTTCTATTTAAGTGACGCTACGCTTTTTCTTTGCTGTGTGTTTATTGTGTCGTTTGCGTATCATTTGAGTCATTTCAGTGTCATTTCAGGTTCGCCAGAAGACAATAACTTTTTTTTTAAGATTAATATGCTCTCAATGTGCACATAAAATGAGTTCATATTAATACTTTAACATAAGGCCTCTTCTTTTGTAAGCATGTCGCAAAAGAACAAATAAAATAAGCATTACTTTTGATGACAACTCTGAACAAAATTAAGATTTTATTAGACTTATATGTGCAAAAGATGTAATAAAATTTAAAGTTAAAATTTCGAAAATTAGTAATAATTTTTTGCAATTATTAGTTAACTGGAAATGTGGTGTGTACTCCCACAAATCGTTCCCAATAGACAAATTTTTAGTCTTGGCAACCATGTGATTTAAGCTGCTTATTAGTTAAGCGATTTAAAAAAAGAGTGGACTAAATAAGAAAGCAGTGTTGTTGTTTCATATGTTATTTTTGAAATAATCAGTTGTTCTTTTGTGATATGCTTACAAAAGAAAAGGCCTGATATTAACACAATGCTTGTTTGTAGATATTGTGGTTCTAAACATAACGTCTAGAAAAGGCAATAGGAAAATTTAAAATACAACACTGAGAAAGTGGATTAGGGCATGGCAACTACAAATCACAAAGAAACAATGCAGAGCAATTTATATATTTCCACAAAATGTATTTATAGTAATTGATTGATTTTTTTTAAGTAATAAATATTTATAACGCAAAAAGTTTTAAATTTAAAAATGATAAGTTTTAGAAAGAAGAACGACGCATGCGTGTCATTGAAAAAGAGAGAGCATAATATTAACTATTATAAATGCCCAATCTATAAAGATATATATTTGACAATAACTGCTTAATAATACAAGAAATTCTTGAAATTCAAAAATTGAGGATTTGATGGGTTAAAGAAAACCCATTTCTTATTTTATGAAATACGAATTTTTGTCGTAGAGAATTTCTCTACAATTCCTCTCCCTCCCTTTCAAAAAGTGGAATTTTTCAAATATTCTTTGAAATCTACTTGAAGGATAACCTGATTTTTAGAAATATGGAACAACCACTTTGTTTTGAGAAAGAATCAAAGGATTTTGAAGCATAATGTCGAAATAGAAATATACATATATTTATTGGTAACAAGTTTGAAAATATGATATGATTTTAAACTTTCGAAATCTTAATTATTGAAATTTAACACATTTTTACCGGAGATCCACAAATTTAGAAGAAAAACAAGTAACCGATTTGAACTCATCAGCCTCAAATTAACTGAAAACCGTTGAAAAATCAAAAAACAGAAATAAATATTTCATTCCTGCCATATAGTATAATCGTAAAAATGTTTCTTGTGCAGCTTAAAAAGTCCATATCTCAAAAAATGAGCCATATCGAGATATAGCGTGATTGAAAAAATAGTCGATTTTATCACAGTCCATTAATAAAAAGCGACAACCAGGCAATCGTTATCTTACCGATTTTTGTATCGTGTAAATGCGGAGCCCACGATTAAAGTTTGTCATACAAAACTTCAAACTGAAAATTATTTTGTTAGTTCCGCAAATTTGTATTATTCCCGCCATTCCTTGTATTTTTAGTTTAGTGCTTGGCTTGCATTTGTATGCAGTGGTAGTGGTAGTGGCGTCGAATTTGCTATTAACAAAAATTCTCTATATTTTTGAAAGAAATTACGTGGTTTTGTTCAATTTTCAAGATGGTGAGCACATTAAGCAAAACTATTATAATGAAGTTGTTATTATTAGTAATATTAAATATTTACCATAAAAACTTCCGATAAATTCGTTGACACTGGCGTTCTTTTTTTTTCAGCGCTTTGGAAAAAACAATAAAATGCAACAATACGTTCACTATAGGGTTCGCGTCTTGATACAGGACTCACGTACCTTGATCGGTACATTCAAGTCGTTTGATAAGCATATGAATTTGATACTGGCAGATTGTGAAGAGTTTCGTACTATTTCTTCCAAAAGTCCAAAGTTGAAGGATCGTGAAGAAAAGCGAGTTCTAGGTTTTGTGTTACTTAGAGGTGAACAAATTGTGTCATTCACCATAGAAGGTCCGCCTCCTCCAGATGAAGGATTACCACGTGTGGTTTTCCCAAAAAATACTGCAATCCCAGGTGCTTGTCGCGCAGCAGGTCGTGGAGTTCCAATTAACGCGCCAACACAGCCAGCAGGACTTACTGGACCTATACGCGGTATACGCGGTCCACCACCGCAACATTTGGTTCCAATAATGCGTGGCAGACCTCGGGCACCTCTGATGCTAGTACCACCACCAATACGTGGTCCTCCACCGCCAATTCGTGGTCCTCTACCTGTGCGTGGCGTACCACCACCAAACTTTTTGAGACCTCCACAATGAAAATATGCTTAATGTATTTAATACTCATATGCATTGAATAAATAAAAAATTTTTTTTCTCTATTTTACTTTTTTACTTATTACATCGTACAAAAGAAAATTAGACATAAACTGTAACTACACCCACAATCACATCCCAAAATACTTTGCTTACAAACTGGGTAGTGAAGTTTGTAACTGTAATATGAGGAATAATATTAATAAAACCGATTTTTATAATAATAATAATAATAATAATTCAGCATTTCAGACTTTTTCCTCTTTTCAAAAATCTGGTGCAGCGACGGCAAATGTTTTGAAAAGCTCTTGTCCATTATCAGTATTTTTTGTGGTTCATAGTCTGGTCCGTCGGAATATTGTTATAAGTTGGGGAATTGTTTCAAAAAAGTTTAACAATATTCTTATATTTTTGTTCAATGAAATTGTTTACTTTAATATCCGCTTGTGATGTTATTTTTTTTGTTTTTTGTTTTTTTTTTGGTACATCAATATATGATTATATGTAATAAGTCGCACATGTTGTCCCTGACTTTATATATACTCTTTTGGAGCAGCCATTTTGGAGCAGCCTGCACGATTTTGGTGTTGAGCAACTGGGGCTATGCTATGCAGACAACCCTGTTATAATAAATATTTATTTATTTTTATATTATATATATTTATTAGTATTTATATATTTATTTATATAAATGTATAAATTAAAAATCTAAGATTATTGGTTACTGCGGCAAGAGTTACACACCTTGACACCTAAGTCAAAACAGTATTGAAACTGCTGCGTGAATCATTTAAAGCTTAAATAAATGTATATATAATATACATTCTGTGTATAAATTATCCGGAAATTAAAGATAGCTGCATAATTTCTTTCTGTGAGTTGCCAAGCGTCTGGTTACAACAGCTGTTTGCGGAAACACACTTCCAAGTGCTTCGTAATGGCAGAAACCTATTCTTACGCCAGAGTTTTTTATAAAAAAATTATTGCATATGATGGATCAAATATTGTACCTAACTAATAAAACATCGTAAAATCACCACTTCAAAAAGGACGTCTCAAGTTGACTGCGACAATAGAATATATGAAAAGAACTGAATGTTTTACTTAAATAAGCTGATAAAAAAAGTTTCAAGCTTTGGATCAAGCGTTGGAATTATTGCATTACAACCGATGGGCCTAACTTTGAAAATTAAAATCAATACTATATTTATGGATATCGATAAGAACTCCCAAAGGGAACTATTTTTTACATTAAAAAGTATATATAAAGTCAGGGACAACATGTGCGACTTATTACATATAATCATATATTGATGTACCAAAAAAAAAACAAAAAACAAAAAAAATAACATCACAAGCGGATATTAAAGTAAACAATTTCATTGAACAAAAATATAAGAATATTGTTAAACTTTTTTGAAACAATTCCCCAACTTATAACAATATTCCGACGGACCAGACTATGAACCACAAAAAATACTGATAATGGACAAGAGCTTTTCAAAACATTTGCCGTCGCTGCACCAGATTTTTGAAAAGAGGAAAAAGTCTGAAATGCTGAATTATTATTATTATTACTATTATAAAAATCGGTTTTATTAATATTATTCCTCATATTACAGTTACAAACTTCACTACCCAGTTTGTAAGCAAAGTATTTTGGGATGTGATTGTGGGTGTAGTTACAGTTTATGTCTAATTTTCTTTTGTACGATGTAATAAGTAAAAAAGTAAAATAGAGAAAAAAAATTTTTTATTTATTCAATGCATATGAGTATTAAATACATTAAGCATATTTTCATTGTGGAGGTCTCAAAAAGTTTGGTGGTGGTACGCCACGCACAGGTAGAGGACCACGAATTGGCGGTGGAGGACCACGTATTGGTGGGGGTACTAGCATCAGAGGTGCCCGAGGTCTGCCACGCATTATTGGAACCAAATGTTGCGGTGGTGGACCGCGTATACCGCGTATAGGTCCAGTAAGTCCTGCTGGCTGTGTTGGCGCGTTAATTGGAACTCCACGACCTGCTGCGCGACAAGCACCTGGGATTGCAGTATTTTTTGGGAAAACCACACGTGGTAATCCTTCATCTGGAGGAGGCGGACCTTCTATGGTGAATGACACAATTTGTTCACCTCTAAGTAACACAAAACCTAGAACTCGCTTTTCTTCACGATCCTTCAACTTTGGACTTTTGGAAGAAATAGTACGAAACTCTTCACAATCTGCCAGTATCAAATTCATATGCTTATCAAACGACTTGAATGTACCGATCAAGGTACGTGAGTCCTGTATCAAGACGCGAACCCTATAGTGAACGTATTGTTGCATTTTATTGTTTTTTCCAAAGCGCTGAAAAAAAAAGAACGCCAGTGTCAACGAATTTATCGGAAGTTTTTATGGTAAATATTTAATATTACTAATAATAACAACTTCATTATAATAGTTTTGCTTAATGTGCTCACCATCTTGAAAATTGAACAAAACCACGTAATTTCTTTCAAAAATATAGAGAATTTTTGTTAATAGCAAATTCGACGCCACTACCACTACCACTGCATACAAATGCAAGCCAAGCACTAAACTAAAAATACAAGGAATGGCGGGAATAATACAAATTTGCGGAACTAACAAAATAATTTTCAGTTTGAAGTTTTGTATGACAAACTTTAATCGTGGGCTCCGCATTTACACGATACAAAAATCGGTAAGATAACGATTGCCTGGTTGTCGCTTTTTATTAATGGACTGTGATAAAATCGACTATTTTTTCAATCACGCTATATCTCGATATGGCTCATTTTTTGAGATATGGACTTTTTAAGCTGCACAAGAAACATTTTTACGATTATACTATATGGCAGGAATGAAATATTTATTTCTGTTTTTTGATTTTTCAACGGTTTTCAGTTAATTTGAGGCTGATGAGTTCAAATCGGTTACTTGTTTTTCTTCTAAATTTGTGGATCTCCGGTAAAAATGTGTTAAATTTCAATAATTAAGATTTCGAAAGTTTAAAATCATATCATATTTTCAAACTTGTTACCAATAAATATATGTATATTTCTATTTCGACATTATGCTTCAAAATCCTTTGATTCTTTCTCAAAACAAAGTGGTTGTTCCATATTTCTAAAAATCAGGTTATCCTTCAAGTAGATTTCAAAGAATATTTGAAAAATTCCACTTTTTGAAAGGGAGGGAGAGGAATTGTAGAGAAATTCTCTACGACAAAAATTCGTATTTCATAAAATAAGAAATGGGTTTTCTTTAACCCATCAAATCCTCAATTTTTGAATTTCAAGAATTTCTTGTATTATTAAGCAGTTATTGTCAAATATATATCTTTATAGATTGGGCATTTATAATAGTTAATATTATGCTCTCTCTTTTTCAATGACACGCATGCGTCGTTCTTCTTTCTAAAACTTATCATTTTTAAATTTAAAACTTTTTGCGTTATAAATATTTATTACTTAAAAAAAATCAATCAATTACTATAAATACATTTTGTGGAAATATATAAATTGCTCTGCATTGTTTCTTTGTGATTTGTAGTTGCCATGCCCTAATCCACTTTCTCAGTGTTGTATTTTAAATTTTCCTATTGCCTTTTCTAGACGTTATGTTTAGAACCACAATATCTACAAACAAGCATTGTGTTAATATCAGGCCTTTTCTTTTGTAAGCATATCACAAAAGAACAACTGATTATTTCAAAAATAACATATGAAACAACAACACTGCTTTCTTATTTAGTCCACTCTTTTTTTAAATCGCTTAACTAATAAGCAGCTTAAATCACATGGTTGCCAAGACTAAAAATTTGTCTATTGGGAACGATTTGTAGGAGTACACACCACATTTCCAGTTAACTAATAATTGCAAAAAATTATTATTAATTTTCGAAATTTTAACTTTAAATTTTATTACATCTTTTGCCTAATAAATATATATAAGCTTAATAAAATCTTCATTTTGTTCAGAGTTGTCATTAAAAGTAATGCTTATTTTATTTGTTCTTTTGCGACATGCGTACAAAAGAAAAGGCCTATTTTACAATATAATAATATCATGCTAGATAAGTATTAAAACTGATCAAGTCGACTTATTATAATAAATACAAAATTCAATTTTCTTTTTGGCTATTATTACGTATAAGATATACCGGTAAGACTCATCTAGTACTGAAAGAGATTTCAACAGCTGTTTTTCATAAGATGCTTTATTCACTATGTTTGTTATTGCAAATACATATACGATATATTCTAGAAGAAGCATTTATGATATTCCAAAAGTGATGCCGATTTGTTTCAATCGGACTTAATCTTGTTTTTTTACAACTTTGAAAGAAATAATTACGGCTAATGACAGATATAATAGATATTATGTAGAAGTCATTAATGAATCAAACGATTTATTTGATTCTAGAATAATTTTCGAATATATTCACCACTACTATTTGGTGAACGATTTCGTTATTAAAAAGTAATTGGAATTGACTTTTCGCACCCCGTAATATATTTAGAATATATTAATGATAGTAAAAACATATAAATAAGTAAATGTAGTTCAAAAAGTCCAAGTATAGATATATACTTTCTAACGAGTATATACAGCAGCCTTCGGCATTGATTATATGTATGTGTGAAACATAACATTATGTACAATGTGTTTATAATGATTTAATTAAATTTTCATTAAATGAGAGATACAAATCCTTACAAGATAGTATTCGGATACAGATCTTCCCAACAACAATAAATTAGTTTCTAATTGACATTGAATATATCGGCAATGATTCGATGTGGCTTTGGTTTAATTATATTATAAGGAATGCATGAAAACATAGGATGTATGGTAGATGAGTAGTTCTCCATATGAATAATATTATTAAGAAGATAGATAGTTTCACATCTTTGTAGCCAGGTTCTTTGAATTAAATATGGAATTAGAAATTCATGGAAAGAGTGTGATGACCTTCGTTCGTTCAACGTCACTCCAAAATATTGCTTTCTAAAATATGCATCCTTCCTTAAGGCGAATTTTCAATTTTGATATTCGCCGATTATTTCTTATGGAGGCAACATAAAACAAATAGAGAGAGATCACCTAATTACAAGTGGTCGGCTTTTAGTTATATCACTTTCAGATTGAATTTGATGGGCTGGACGAATTTGAAACAAAGAAAGAGGTCAATGGCATTCCCAAACGTTTCGATGAATGGTATCGCGATGATGTAAGTCTTATTTACAATTGTGAATGATATACTTCCATTTCTGAAAAAAAGTTATTTACTTGCTACAAGTTCTTATGAAGTTTAAATCAGTATTTTGGTTTAGATTTAATATTAGCGTTTGTAAGAGAGAAAATGCAATGAAAAGATGACAAACTTGAAGAAAAACAAACAATGTGAGCAGGAAACGTTGATAAATATTTAATTCAAAAGTTATTAACTCCTATTTATTTGATATATATTTCATAACTACAGGCTTGACAGTATGGGACAGTACAGTAATATTATATGGAAATATATGGAAATAGTGTTATTTCTGATCTATAAACTTTTTTGTCAATATAAGTACTATAGCTTATGTTTAAATATCAGTGATATGGTATCTGTGTGAAACTCATTTCCAAAATGATTTTTACATTCTATTCAACCCAATATCTACCGAAGCGGACTGTCTTGGTGACCTCATATGTTTTCTTATAAAGACACTATAAGCAGCCTGTACTATATTAGTCCTGGTATTGTACCAGAATTCCTTATTAAATATATTCGATTTGATTGTAGTGCTTTTACTCGTATTGACATCACCTTTCTTATATGGATTCCCTATAAAGTATATCCAACGTTAAATAAGTGAAACAAAAGTATCATTTCGCTTTGTTGTGATAATTTACTTGCCCGTTAATTGACTCTACTTAACTTTGTGTCTTTTAATAGAACCTGAGGCTAAGAATGTCACCATAGGCTTCTCTAGTATAACTCTGTTTCTCTTTATTAAAATTATAATTAATATTTATATCAAACTACTGTTTGTATTACTCGAGAGAGTATACGTGTATTCCATTTATTATTACGAATAACTTAATAAAATATGTAAAGAGTTTATAAAATATATTTTGTTAATTTTGTTTAATTTTGTTGAATAATATTATGATATTATTCGCAGGGTTCTTCTATATGAGAAGTGGTAAAGTGCAATACATCATATTCATGCTTCACAAATTCACAAATTTTCTCAATCTCTGTTGTGCGTAAATCTGTGTACTTATCTATAACAAAAAAAAAAACAAAAAAGAATATAATAATAATATATATTTATTAGTTTTATATGTCAGTACTTACTTCTACGACGGCAAAGCAAGCTGTACAAATTATACAGCCCTTCTCCCATACGATTCTTTTCGTTTTGCCTCTTAATCCAGGCAGCTCTTATCTTCGAAAGATTTTCCTCCATATCAGCAACCTCATGACAAACCTTAACAAAAGCACGCTGAAAGAAATCCAACTCATTTTTCATTGACAAAATTGAGTTGGCGATATCTCGAGTTATAGTCACTAATTCGGTCTTCATATCACTGATGCTCTGTACAAGTTTTTCATTCATGCTGTTGATATCAACATTCGCCAACACTGAAAAAATCATAAAAGTTTTATTTATATATACCACATAGGTTGGAATGCAGAACAATGTCATACTTAGCGCATCCATGGAATTGATAAACTGCTCAGAGGTACCGTATTTTGGATGATCCTTTAGAAAATCTTTCATAAAATTTTCATAAAGAACATAACGCTGAAGGGTTTGCTGGAATTCCGTACGGAAAATCTTCAATGTTTTGATGCTGACTCTATGTTCCTCTGATTTGTCTTTCATCAATTTCTGCTCTAGGGCGTGCTCTTCGATTATAAGGCGAGTTGTTTCTTCCTTTTGTCTTAGTTCCTTGAGTTTCGAGGTGCATTTAATGAACTTCTCTCTCAATAATCGTTGATCCGCGCAGATTTCTGCATTGTGGTGTGCATTCATTATGTCGTACCGCCGATTCTCTTCCATCTGCGCATTTTGAGCTTCTACCAACGTATTATATTCTCTCAGGCAAGATAAGTAGAACGTTTGAGGCGTTTCAACAAAAGCATCCTCGTTAGGTGGTTTTCTTTGTATTTTTTGTAATTTTTGTAATTTTTGTAATTTTTGTAATTCGTTAGAATAAAATTTATTCAACTATACTAACTGTCAATACTTACATATTGTTTTTCTTATCGGATTCCTTTGAAACTATATATTCCGGAATTGCAGTAATAATATTACTGTCCAGATTACCCACCACATCAAGCATGTGTATTGGCTTTCTACGTGACATTTTCGCAAGTATTTGTAGAAAATATAATCATATGATTTCTGTACGTTTTCTAGGACAAAATATATGAAACTAACTTCATATATAAAAATTTTTATATGTAAGAATTTGTTTTTATTTCACAGCTTACTTTTATTCCGAATTGATTAAAAATTTTAGTTTTAAATTTGTTAAATTTTTGGTGTGAAAAAAAACTTTATAAATTCTTGAAAGTCACATTAGGTAGTTTCCAAAGGTTTCCAGAGCGGTTTGTCTGGTTTCAGTTCTTAATTTGTGTACTCTTTAAAGATAGCTCATCATATCCATTATCTCTTAATTGTTTAAGGTCTTTTCATTTCTGTGATATAGAAGGTAGGCGAGTTCAACAAAAATTGATTTTAAAATGTCAAATTGCTTCTAATATTTTCTCTTTAATATATAATAATATATTTTATTTTAATATATTATATATGTTATATATTTCTTTAATATATTTTGTTGAAGTTCTGTTGGTATATGACTGTTGCAATTATTTTATGGCCGATTGGATTTTTGAACAAGAATATAGAGATTCACACCTCTGACGCTATTGTATTATTGAAAAGTGACTGCAGGATGTAATCGCTCATCGCTCTAACAGTATCTCACAAAATAACTGTAAACCGGAATATTAATTATAAAAATATGGTTTACATCTCATCTGTACAGTTGTGGAGGATCTGATAGCAACTTGGTAATAGGAGATATTTTAAATATTATTATCTTATCTCATATTACCATATAAGGAATATAATTAATTCAAGTTAAGAAGAAACCACAATTATTTTTTCATATGAATATTTTCAATCATGGTTGTAACCCGGATGCGGTATAGGCGTTTAAAAATAATTTCCTTACACAAAATGACTAAAAAAAATATTTGACTTGATAAAGTTCTGTTCAAATATCCTTTATGCCTGAATATGCACATAGTCTCGATGTGGATCCATTACGAGGAATGGGGAACCCTTGTTCAATACATTTTTTTTACTTTATGATACTTTCTTCGAAAGGTAGTGTCTTATGAATTTCCACCTTGGCCACGCGAATAAATTAAGTAGAATTTTACTACCAACACATTTATTTTTTAGTTTTTCATCGTATATATAATCCCAGACGGAACAGGACCCATCGTATATTTTAATTTGATCATATTTTATTTATAAATAAAAACGTTATTTTTTTGAAAACTTGTGATTAAATCGCCTAGGCCGTACTTTTAAGAGATGTTTTATTTCAAATTGAATGGAAACAACCATAATTTGATTCATGGAATCAATTTATTCGATAGATAACTTTATGGTATCAATAACAATTGCTATGATTTTAGTGTGGAAACTTTTTACACAGTACAACCTTGATTTTAAATTTTCATAACTAATTTCAAGTACGTATAACTTTGTTTTTTGCTATAATACCAGAGCTGATGCAACGTTCCATTGAAGTTTAAGTTAAATGGCAGATCAATAACTAAACCAGAATTTTCAAAAAAGCTTAGGGCATTTTAAAAGATTATCGACTATTGTATGAGTCAATTTGTCTGATAAGACGAATTGAATATTCTATCAAAACGAGACGGTTTAATATAAAGCTAAATAACAAGATTGAGTTTGATATTTATTAAGTAATAAACAGAATAGGCGAAATCGATTGCACTTGAAATTGATTTTAATATACTTTCAGAAAGGTATATATTAGAAGCTTACTTTAGATTCTTCACTGCTACATAAACAGCTATAAACGCCGCATACTCTAAATATAACAAATCTAAAGTCATCCTATCTTATGTCATATATCTCTGAACGAGATCAGTGGACACAAAAACTTATCCTTCGTTTGGACAACCCGAGCAAAGATGTTGCTATGAACTACATTAGTCATTCTCCAAAAATATATCATAGCAATCAATCCCTTTATCCCATAACACACTCTTGAATCGAATAAGCACTAATAAAATGGAAAAATTAGTCAATTTGTGCTATGACTGAGGAAATCTGGCTATTTATACACTAAGAATTTGGAAACTAATTAATTTGAATAAGAATGAAATTAGCAGTATGATTATTATGTTTAGACTAGTTGAGTCAGTGCACTTGAACACTTTTACTCTCTATTAACAGTGAGGTTTCTTCATAACCACTCTCTACGCTCTGTCTGGTTTATTGTTTATCACTTCCATCAGACTAAGCAATAACTGACTTCAGATCTGCATACTTTCCCGAGGAGCCTGTAACTATGCTGAGATTCGATAGCGAGGTGTTGGTAAACCTGTCAGTTTTCGTAAATAGTTTCTGGGCTCTATCCTTTATGTATTTTTTCATCTGATCAATCTTGAAGTCTCTGAAGATGCCATTCATCCTAATATACCATGGCACCATGGATTTCTTAGAGCCTGGGTTTGTGCAATTTCTAACTGGCGAATAGTAGTGCTTGAGGCTTTGCCTTGTAATTGATCATTATTTAAAAGGCAAACATCCACAGAGAATTTAAACTTTACCTGAGGATCTTTGCGGCCACTGCTAACAGTAGAAGGAGGAATAATCAGGTTTTTATCTATCGAACAGAGGTTTGAACTTGATTAAAATGATACGAATAGCTTTTAAACTTGGAACATATGTATTTTAATGCTGGATTTACACGAGAGCTTTTTTGTCATTTTAGCTGTCATGTTTGTAATTTGTAATTTTAGCTGTCAATTGTTGTTGCTTTCAATGCAAAATGAAAATTTTTGACAGCTGAAATTACAAACAAAACTCTCGGCCTAATTCAGTATAAAAAAACTTTTTCAATCTTATAAACATTGAAAATTATTCGTAAGTATTTATTTATTATTTACAGTTGAATTGTTTTCAAAACCATAAAAAAAATTTTAAACTACATCAAAGCTTTTTTTCTGTATTAAAAATTTTGGGTGATAATTTATTTTTATGGATTTGCAAGCAATTTAAACATTTGGAAAAATTCGCAATTCACAGTCTTCAAGTATTTTGTAAGCAAAATGAGTAAAAATACTTATCAAAAAAGTTCATCTACATTTTACTTTCAATTGCAGCGTCAATTTATTTCAAGTGAATTAAGTATGGAGCGTCGGTTATCGATAAATGAGGATGATAACGATGAAATTTCCTCTACTAGTAGTAGAGAGCTTTTAGAACTTGATATAAATCCCATAGAATTGGATGAATATGAACATGAATTGACTTCAGTAAGCAGTAGGAAACTTCTTGAACTGGATGTCGATTCGGTCCTATTAGAAAATGACGAAGTAGTTGAAGGTGAGGTGGATTTTTCGGAAACTATAACTAAAAGTGAATCTTTTAAAGATGACTTGGGAGTTGAAATCGTTTCAGTTTCTCAAAAAGTTGAAAATGTATCGCAACAGTCTCTTTTTAATCTGTTGGCAATCATCTTTAGTAAATGCAATATTATGTTTAACAGTTTGGGACCAAATTCATTTGATGTGTTCTATATTGCAACCGCTTACTTAAAAGCATTTGTTATGGGTATAATCACTATGGTTGAAGTACATGGATTTAAAGAACTAATTAGATGCATTAGAGATGCAAATATGAGAACACTAATGATTTATCCAGCATTACTATTCATGTTGCTGACTGTGACTCAAATTCCTTCCTTATGGAATAAAGTTTCCAAATGTTTAAGATGTATTCCTCTGACGAATTGGTTCATCTATACAGCAACAGAAGTTGAGTCCGTTGATGAAATTGGAGAACTTCAAAAAATAATTCAAAATATGAAGCAGGTCACAAAGTCAAACTTTGCCGGAGGCCCACTGTTGACACCAGTGGTTGGTGCAGTTATCGGAAATCAAATCTTTTTTTGGTTAACAAGTCCTGTGGGTCGTTTTGTGGCAGGATGCGCAATATTTGGCTTTGTAACAGAAGTATTATATGCTTGTATAAAGCATTTAAAGGGTAAAGTTTGTAAGCAAGACGGCTGCCGTCAATGCAATGATAGCCAATTCAAGTCAACAAAAAGATTTCACTGTATTAATTCGTAATCCAAAACATTATCCTTTTATTTTACTAATAAATAAACACTTTCAATATTTTTAATAACAGCACTTAAGGACGCTTTAATACTTATCAATAAGACGAAACATCTTGTCCACCATATACAATGACTCGAATGCCGCCATTATCCTTCTTCACAGCTGTGACTTTCGTGACCTTGGTCACAGAGTCTGTCGCTTTGTGATCAATTCCGTTTTAACGCTATAATTCCTCTCCTTGCACCGACTCCCAATCTAGCTGCACCACACCCATGCTCTCTGACTTAGCCAAACCTAGTGCACTAGTTATTATGCCTCTCGCTTACATCTCTCTCTCTTGTTTACTGAAATGAAGTTTTCACACTACTGTGGAAATCTTCTCTATTCATTCCTAAGAGATGGTTTAAATGGGTTCAAGTCTCACATTGTGGCTGTTGATACTCTCCACTGCAAAACAAAAAAAAAAAAAGAAGTTATAATGTCATTTGAGAATCCTGCCCACTTAGCACTTTTAGTGCTTATACAACCACAACGAAACTTAGTAGCTCACTTACATCTTGAGTCATGAATGCTTTGTAGTTGTTATAGAATTGTTGTTTCAGCTATCATAACGAATAAAACATTTTTAAGTAGTTATAGATAGCGAAAAAAAATAAAATTTATTAAAATATATTTAGTGTTGTAAAATGCACTAATATATATAATACTAATATTATAAGTAGTAATAGTAACTGTTAAAAAAAACAGTTTTAAAGGTGTGTCTTTCAGAAATAGAATTGAAAATTGATTTTACAGTATGACAAAAAATGTTATGTTTTTTATTATTTATGAAATTATTTTCAAAAATATATATATATATATATATATTATATACCTTCCTTCTGCTCAAAAAGTATCAGGATTTTGTTGTTTGTTAACTACTCCTTAAGTTAGACTTTTTCAAAAATTTCATTTTTGTTATGTTGGTACACCCTTTCTTGACATATGGTACAAATTTGAGCGCCATCTGTCATGTAGTTTGTTTACAGCAGCTGTTAATGTGAGACTACCTCAAGTGCATTTAGCGATTTGTACAATGGAAAATTCTTGTTATATCGATTTTTTGATCAAACAAGGCACCACTGTCAACGCTCAGGCACCGTATTCGCCAGATCTGGATCCGTGCGACTTTTTCCTGTTCCCGAAGCTCCAATTGTCCCTTCGTGGTAAGCGTTTTGAGTCGATTGAATCGGTAAAAGAGAAAGAACTAAAAGCCATACCTTCACGGGCCTACCAAAAATGTGTATGGAAGATTGGGTAAAGCGTTGGCATATGTGTATCGCTGCAGAAGGAGCATATTTTGAAGGAGATAAAATAAATTTGGATTAAAATTTGAATTTGTTTGTTTTATTTACAAAATCCGAGTACTTTTTGAGCAGAAGGTATATGATCGCCTATCTTTACCATTACTATTTAGTGTTCTTATGAAAAATCTAGAGTTATCAAACATCTCTTGTACATAAAATAATAGCTTCTTTATGGTTAACCGTTTCTGAGAATATTTCTTTAAAATATAGTACAAAAATATGCTTTAACCAGAAAATTGTCATTATGCCATATGAATGGCTGAAATGTTCAGAACTATGAAATATAATGACATATATGAATGCTTAATGCGTCCAATGATTTCAGTTTATTTTTAGTTTTTATTCTAAAATAAAATAAAATAAATTCAATCAATTTTATTTCAAAGAAGTCTATAATTTTAAAGTAGTTTGAGGTTGTTCTAGAAGATGTAGGTACGGCCGCCTCTTACAGCAACAGTAACATCTTAAAACAAGTGGCAAACATTTTTGTGTTGATTTTTTTAATAAAGTTCTTCAATAAAATAGATTGCATTTGTGTATTGAGTGCAACCACGGAACAACAGTTGCAGATACAGCATCATCTTAAACAGTCAGCAATAGCAACAGTAAGAGCAGCAGCAGCAGCAGCAACAGCAGTAAGAGCAGCAGCTCCTTAAATATCGGTAGCAATTTTCAAAATACCATCAGCATTTGTACAACAACAAAAGTACATGTCAGTAGCTAAACTCCATTATCTAAGCAATTGACTACCATAAGTCTTTTGCACTGTACATCGTTTTTAATAATTCGTATTCAAGTCATGTCACGGCCTTAAACCGGATGAATCTTTCCTACGTGGTGCACATGGTCAAGTTATGTGAGCGTTCTTCTTTTTCCACTAACTTCTTTCGCGCTCCAATCGCATTTTTTCTATAAGCTAATGTACGCGTGCGCCTGCGCCTAGATAGGCCCAACTCACAAAGTGGAAATGAACAACAGAAATTGGTGCAACGCTAGACACTGGCTGGCAAATGGGTCGGTATATTCGTGTGTGTTATTATTTCATTCCTAGAGGGAATTGCACAAAATGTTATGTTGGTCTAAATGTGAAGATAAAACTACAAAAAAAAAAAAAATTTACAGTATATGAAGTACAGAAAAATAATTTCATAGACGCTCATAACTACATTGTGTCAAATAATGGTCAGTTAGTGTTGTATGATATTAGGAGCTCATTAGAAAGTAGTTGGTACAATAGTTCAATTAAATTAAGTGAAGTTACGGATTCATTACTCATTCAATAATAATTATGTGTCGTTGCTTTTTATTATCGTTTATAAGTATTTTAACTAATATGTCTAAAAAAAGAGAATAACTCATTCATATCCCATAACTTTCTAATATTTGTGTGGCATTCTAAAAGAAAAGGAATCTTTGTGTTTCCTCCTCTACACTTTTTCTTTTCTGATATAGTTATAAATAATGATTTTATCTTACTTACTTGTTTAGTTACTCACTACAGATATGTGTTGTCCTTGCCTACATATAATAACCACCGTCAAACAGCTCGAACAATCGCTTCTTGTTGTCAGTTGATAGTATCGAGTACCCCACAAATCGTTGGTCACCTGATTCTTCCACCCAAGGTGCAGACGTTCTCTACCACACTTGTGCAGAAAAGCATTTTCTACACATCCAAGTAAGCAAAGTCAACGGATAACTATATTATTGTCACAATATAACTTATATAGGTCATCAAATTCCATCAAATTCGATACTTATTGCTAACGCTTAAAAAACCAAAGATCTTACGAAGACCTTTTCTCTCGAATGCTCCTAACTCTTTCTCATCACTGTTGGTGATTTTCCAAGCTTTTGCACCATATAGCGGAATAGGCATGATAAAAGATATGTAGGGCGTAAATTTTTTTCATTGAAAGAGGGGTGTATTTCTTAATTGACTATTTAACTCGATATAATATCTGTTGTCAGAAGTGCTTCTTCGTTGAATCAGTAGGTTGATGTCATTTACGTCACGCACTTAGTGTTTAAGCTGGTTCGCAAATAAAGAAAGTCTTTCACAACTTCAAACTTATAGCTATCAACAGTTTCATAAAACCCATGATGCTAAGGAAATTTCTTTGTTGACAGTAAATATTATGTGTTTTCTTCGTTTACCAACAGACCCATTTGCTTCGCTTGTTTTTCTAAGTTGTAGAAACGTCTAATCACCTTTTTATTTTTTAATAATATATCACTATAAAATTATAAGCAACTTAAAATTTACCTACCTATATTTGGTAGAAAAATTAATAACTCAAAAATACTGAACACAAGTGCTGTCAAACTGATTTAAGTCCATATAAAATATTTTAAGGAAAACTGTCGTTCACACCAACCAAACTTGTTTTAAAAAATATTAATTTTTTTATTATATTTTTGCGTATACTTTTTCATTACAAAAACATTTATATACATATAAGAATTATACAATCACTATATTCTCATGTCATATGCATCCAAAAAAATTAGAAACTATAAGTTCTTCCACTGATAGTATTGTTTTCACCTGTGTTTTTGGGTACGTTCACATAAAAACTCACCTGGTTCGTTTTGTGAGAACTATTTGTATATAAATCATCTCCAAAAGGGTTCAGGTACGTGCTATCTGAAAACATTTCACCAAGCTCAAATTTTGTTCTAAGCAGAATTGTAATATACAATATACAATATTGTTATATATTTTACTATTTTACTGGGTTAATGTGCCTGTGTGAACAGCGCTTTAGTAGAAGTGATAATAACTATTAACAGTCTTTCGATATCTTAAGCAGATAGTACTATTTATTTATGCATTTTTATAAAATAAGTTTCATACCATAAATACGTAGAAGCTAAATATCGAAGTGTTCAATAAATGTGCGGAGTGCCATCTATATGTCAATTATATAATAATAATTTCGAAACCATTTTCATGTTCCATATCTCAAAAAAACAATTAATTCTTAGTACTTAGTACTTAAATGGAAAAAATTAAACATCCCGTAATAATTAGTCATTGAAAAATATTTTCTAAAGCAATGGAAATTTACACCATTGGGTTTCATATCCACTTTTATAGAATTCATATATTTTTTCTACAGCATATTAGGTCTGTTCCACGAGCTACTCGTAGTAATTTCGAGTAATACTGTGTATACACAAGTGCATTCCACCAGCAAATTTTCGAGTAAAAGAGAACATTTGAGAAAGCGTAACATCCCTGTCGAAATTTGAAAATGCTATACAGATTTTACTAGTACTTTTTATTTCAAGTAAAATTTGTGTTGATGTATAAATCAGCTGTTTTGGTTTGATTTAAAATTTTTGGTATTGTTTATTTCCGCGACACTGATGTCCTCACCAAACTTCACACAAAGCTGTTCCATGAAAATTTGTATAAAGAGGTTAATTGGCATTTTATTTGTGTTACGCTCTTAGTTTGTACTTTACTTGTATTTTACTCGAATTTTACTACAAGTAACTCATGGAACAGAACTATTATATAAAACTCCTTGATATTTGTGGTGAAAACGTTGATAAAAAATTTTTAATTTTAACATATCTTCAAATCAATTTCACATCTTATATTCAAATTCGTTAATCTGCCAAACAGAATAATTTATATACTTAATTGACTTAATTAAAAAGTATTTCTTCAACTCTTCGAAGACGCAGATTAATATAATCAAGTCTT